CTCATAAAAGGAATTGGCAATTGAGATGAGTCCTAGTGAACCTCGAGAATTGCGTTATAGAGGTATGTTCTTTCTTGCTTGAAGAGTAAGCTAGTACACGAGGAAAGCTTATCATCTCTTTCTTTTATACTACTCAAATCATATGAGTCTTCGCCTAATCTTTTGATTTAAGGCTACCTCTCTATTGGTTCTACATTAAATTTTGCATCCTTTCATTCTATAGCACACCCTAACTTACCCCAACTCTCATTTCCCTAGCGAAAGAGTCTGGTTTGCTGCTTCTTTCTTGTTCTGTTGAAATTAGGGATTGACCGAATGGAGGGACGGTTAGAGGCAATCATCTCTAAAAATTTTAAATTATCATATATTTTAGATATATTTTTTGTATTTTATATTGATAATCTATTTTCGCTCTAAAGTTTTATAAAGTTATCTCCTCCTAAAATTTTAGAAGTTCGCCTCTTTAATATAAAATTTTGTGTCTGTCTTGTTTGAAACTCTTGAAGTGAAGAGAGCGGCCACTATGATTTTGATATGTATCCTTCTAACCGGCTCCGCAGAATTCCTTTCAAAGCTTCAATATGCTCTTTCCGTTCATAGTGTGTTATAAAGTCTTCCATTAGCAGATCGATCGACTAAGTTTCCATCTTAATTCTTAAGTAGAGGTCTAAGTGGATTTTTTTTTTTGAAAAAGGTGGTTTTTGTATGATTTATTAAAACCATATAAAACAAATATATCGATAGGGATATCGTTAAAAAATTTCTCTAAACTTAAATAGAAGAAAAAGAGTGCGTCCAATCAGTGTTATTACATAACCGAGTCATTCACAAACAATCACAAAGGAACCAACTTACATATATAACCTGACCATACACCAAAGTATAAAATAAAAAAACTGGCTAAGAGCCTTCTAACTCACCCAAGATCACCCGAAACAAATTTAAAACTGCATGAACACTGCACTCAGAAGTAGCCCAGCCGAACAAAAGGGTGGAAGGAACGCTTTTCAATGCACTCAATACCACCATGAACCAACGTGTACCCTCTAGAAGCTTAACAAACATGAACCCACCAACACTCCACAGCACCTACTTTACTACAATCAGGCACTTTGATAATCCACAATAGACTTTCGATCAGCTTTTCACCCGAGACCACAAATCACTCCCAAAAAAATAGCACTGAAGCCCACTCAATTAGGCACCCACCACCACACCCAATGTGGAAAACCAACGTCCCTTCATGAACCTTATATGGAACGAAACATAACTAAACCTAGAATTGTGGAGACATCGACACCTTCATCTGCACTACTGCTCGCTAATGTACATTAAAGCACCACAAGCATCATCTCCACTACCCACGATTTTGAATGACCATACACATCAACTAAAGCCCCCATTGGAACCAACTCATTCTTTGCCATGGGACTATGATTATAAAGCGATAAGACTATTACCTTTAAACCGCAGAATTGCAATGGGATATACACACCTTTCAGGATCCATCAATTTATCACAAAGAAAGCAGTAATGCCTCACCCTTGAGCAGCTTCCACCACACCATATAGGAGCAAGGCGAAAGACTGGATTCCCACTGAAGCATCGCACCTTGAAGTCGTAGAAAAAAACAACAACAGATAAAAATAGCACCCCGCAAAAACTCTTGCTTCCCAAAAAACAGGAACGATCCAATAAAAAATCACCATCAATGCCAAAAGGACCATCACAACCAATTTTCCTCACCCAGTAACCAGGATCTCTGCAGCTTACATCCAAGCTAAACATTCCAGGAACATTAATCAACTAACAAAACCATAACCACACAGAACCACCACATCCGAATTAGCATGACAGAATTAATTTTAACTAGGAACATTGATAAGATTAGGGGAACGCAGACAATCCAAAATGGAAGCACAGCAGACCGGCCACTTGCTTTTGCACCAAAAACCCAACCTCAACATAGCCATTTCATATAAGTATCCGTTGCTAAAACTTATTTTATTATAAAGGATTTCGTTTCGGCACAGCCAATAGTCCATATCACAGCATAGAATGCCATCCTATCTTTGTCGGAGCGAGGCTGGTTGCAGATGACATTTCTTTGGCCCCATTCAAAAGGAAATGCGGGTAAGGTTAGGTCGACAAAGGGCTCAAGAATAAGGTAGGGTTCAGTCCTTCAGATTTAGATAGGAAAAGAATGTCAAACCTCTATGCATAAAAGTTTTTATAAACGCTTCGTACAAGTTCCAGCCAAGATAATTGGGAAAGATGAAACCATTTTGAGCTGCTCCTATCTCAATAGTAATAATGTAAAGATTATAAGTTTGGGTATGACCATAACTAAGACTGTTACTTTCACATCTCTCTATCTATACTAGTGAGCAACCTCATGTCACGGGTCGCGTGTCAAGGTTCGAGACTAAGGCAATCTTAGGTATCCAGGAGTATCGACTAACATACCACAAAGCGAATTGCATTTGTTGCCATCCAAGAGTCATCAAGTAAATAGAAATCTAGTCGGGTTAGGATTAAAAAAAATCTAAGATTGAGTTATATTAGGACTTTACCTTGTGGATATACTTCTTTTTTTTCTTTTGAATAACGTGGATATATTTTTTAATCATAGTTGATGGAGTAAATAGAGTTCAAGTCCAATTACAACATCATCGATACCGGAAACATCTAAAAATAACAAACATTCAAAAATTAAGTTTTGATAATGAACATTCAAACATTCTTTCAAATGTTATACTCAAACCTGAAACATCTAAAAATAAAAAACATTTCTATAACCACTAACAACAATTAATTTATGCTGAAAAAATGATTTCGATACACGCAACACAATTTTTGGTAAACTACACATTTAATATCTAAACTAACATATTAAATATGTTTTAGTACTTAAACTTTTAATATTTTCAAAATGATACCAAACATTTAGGGGTGGCAATCGGGTGGGGAAAAACTGAAAACTGTGGGGATCTTAACCGACAGGGATGGGGAATAACCGAAATCTTCACCCAAGGGGATTGGATGGGGAAGTTTTATCCCCGAAGCTTAATTAGGGATGGGGAAGAGGATTGTTATATCCGAACCGTGGGGATAACCGAACCGTACCTGTGTGAATAATCGTGGAGATCCCCGAAAAATAATCGTAGGAATCCTCGATATTTTACAAAAATAACTATAGGACCCCAAAAAATATATGTGAGATTACATTTTTCCACTGTTACATCTTAAAGGAACTAAAATTGAAGTTTAGATCTTTTCTCATTTAATATACATTGATTTGTTGATATTAAAATGGTTAAGATTGCACATATACATTCAGTGTTAGATGAATATTGATGTTTGAAACTTTCTTATTATAGATATAAATCAATTTGAGGCAATCTTACATATCTTACAAGATTTAGGTGTTGCATCGATTTAAAAAAATGTTAGTTTACTTTTTGCCGAAACCCGCAGGGATCCGTAAGGGATGGAGACAAAAAAATCTCTGAAACATATAATGGAGATTCCCCAAAACCGTACCAGCAAATGTTGGGGACGGAATGGGTAATGCAAAATCGTCCTCACCCCCTGTTGCCACTCATAACATTTAGTATTTATTTCATTTTAGTACCCTGTTAAAATATTAAGTTTTGAAACAAATTGAAAGTTTAGGTACTAAAACGGACCAAAATCGATAGATTAAGTACTAAACACATTAAGTTTTTAATGGCGAGGTACTAAAATGAAACAAAAACTAAACATTAGATATAATTTTAAAAAGATTAAAAGTGTATGTACTAAAATTGATTAAAACTGATAATTTATGTACTAAACTCATAGTTTACCCTACAATTTTCTTCCACCGACAGAGACTCCTAAAAATTAATACGACACACTTCAGCACTGTCCGTTTCAATTTGACTTTTTTATATCCCAATCTCTAAGCGTGTATCAGTATATCATGAACAACCCATAACTATAAAGCGGCAATATATTTTTTCAAGAAAAACATTATAAATGCCTAGAAATTTGAGAACTCGTGGGTAAGACTGTAAATGAGAAGAAACATATCGTGAGTTACTCGAGATTGAATTAATTAAGACTTAATAAATACTCAGATCGAATGAATTCGACTCGAGCTTGACTCTAGTTCTTAACAAGTCGAAACGAGCTATTTGATATTTAACTCGAAAAGCTCGTGAGCAGCTCGAAAACATAATATATTAAGATTTTATTTTTTTTAAATAAATTATTAATAATATTAACATTTATGTATTGATTTTTTTAAAAATACAATAAGATTTTCATGTATTTAACGTTCAGGTTCGTGTTTGAAGTTTCAATCGAGTTAAGTTTAAGAATTTTTTTTACTCATTTTGAGCCTTTTCGAGTTGCTCACGAGCTTCAGTTCAGGATTTCGAGCTCGAGTCGAGCTTAAAAATTTTAAGCTCACGAGTTTTCGAATCGATTCGAACTTCATTTCAGAGTTTTCAAATCGAGTCGAACTCAGCATTATTCAAACTCGACTTTGCCTGTTTACACCCCTACTCGTGAGAAGTTAATTCCACTTTATAATATTCTTTCAAATAAAATATTAAGAAATGGAAAACTTGAGATAATGATTAAAATAATATCTTTTTAAAAAAATCTCAAAATAGTCTATATCGAGTATTATTTCTAACACTAGTGTAATTATTACAATACCTTTAGAAGACTCTAATATTACATAGATTCTTGAGTTGAAGACTACCAAGATTACTAAACTTTTTATATTTTAGAAAAATTAAAAAATTCCAAGATTACATGAAATCTTTAATTAAAGACTCTAAAATTACGTGCGTCTTTACTTAATACTATAATAATGATCTTATATCAAAAAAAAAATAATACGATAAAAGTCTTATACAAGAAAATTATTTTTTTTCCAATGCTCTACATGAGCAAGGAAGCCGGGAAACTTTATACCACAACTTTTTTGTTGGAGATATTATTAAAAACCATAAAGACAAAAACGACCGAACGCACTCAAAAACACTTCCAACTTACTAGCTTGGTCTTTCTTCTCTCCACTCAAAAAGAAGAAAAAGGAAAACATGCAACCGGAGAATTCGGAGCTCTACCGTTTTCTGGCTCAAAACGGTGTCGGACATGGATCCTCCTATGGCTTTTCTTCTTCCAGCTACGACTTTCAAATTATGCAAAGCTTTTCAAATTCCTGCATCAGCGAAACGACGCCGCAGGATAGAGCTCTTGCTGCTTTGAAGAATCACAAAGAAGCTGAGAGAAGAAGGAGAGAAAGGATTAACTCTCATCTCAACAGGCTTAGGAGTCTTCTCCCTTGTAACTCTAAGGTATTCTCTTTTGATGTTCCATTATTTTAAATGTTCCGATCATTGATGCTAATTCCTTTAGTTAAAAGAAGACGGTAAAGTTTTGAACTTTGAAGTTGGATATATGTCATAGTTGTTGGCTGTTTTTTTACAGCGAAAATCACTCTCTTTTTCCGTCAAAGTTTCCTGGATAAAGTCTCTAGATTCTAAAATCTGGGGATCTATAACTTTATAACAGCCTTTTGAAGCTTTCGAAACAGCAGCTTCTTCCTGTTGCAGTTTTACAGATAAAATACATTTCGTTACTTTTTTGTCGACATCGTTTGGGGAAGTAAATATGCTTTCTAGAATTAGAGTTTTCTTTTTCTTTCATTTAATGGAGTTATATCAGACAGACAAAGCTTCGCTTCTAGCAAAGGTGGTCCAACGCTTGCGAGAACTGAAACAACAAGCGGTTGAGGTAACTGAAGTGGAGAACTTACCATCCGAAACCGATGAGATCAGGGTTCTGTCGTGCGATTATTCAAGTGATGGAACATCAATTTTCAAGGCTTCATTGTGCTGTGAGGACAGGTCGGATCTTTTTCCGGAGCTGATTCAGGTTTTAAACTCTCTCCATTTGAAGACTCTGAGAGCCGAGATGGCGACCTTTGGAGGAAGAATCCGCAACGTTCTGGTTGTGGCGGCGGACAAAGATCACGGCATTGAATCAGTTCATTTGTTGCAAAACGCATTGAAATCTTTGCTCGAACGTTCCGACTCAATCGATCGGCCTAAAAGGAGACGGGCATATGATCACAATGTAATGGTCCCCTGATGTAGTCGCTGATTTAAAATTTTCATCTTCTTTTTTTTTTTGGGAAATTTTTCATCTTCAACTTTGCTGTTTTTTTTTCTTTTCTTTTGTTGGGGGGGGGGGGGAGTGGGGTGACTGCACCGAGTGAGCTAGTTATTGTATTCTAAAAAGACATGGATTGTAATTCTAGGGTGGATGCTGTTTAACTTGTATTTCGAATGAAACCCAATAAAAAGGGAACAAAGCAAATTGAAAATCCGATATTTCTTGGTTGAACCTTAAAATTTTTAAGTTTAACTTGAATTTAAAATCAAAAATTAAAATTTAAGCTCAAGCTCAAAAAAATTTAACTCAATTGAAAATCAAACTCAAAAAAATTTGAACTTAAAATATTATCAGACTTAACTCGATTGAACTCAAACTCAAGCTTAATTCAAATTAGAGTACATCAAAATCTTATACCGCATATAAGTGTTAACATTATTAATAATTTAATTAAAAAATAAAAAATTCAAATAATTTACAGTTTTTCTCATCTTATTTAAAACCCTACATATTACATTTTCCTCTACTCCCATGGACACGTCAACAACAAAATGTGAGACATGGAGGGAAAAAGTGGAAGGAGGATCAAATTCTATGATCTTATCGGAGTTCTGAAATCTGAATGAAGACATATGTACGTAATTGGTGTCTTTTAGCTGCAAAATACAGTTGTTTCTGTGAGTTCCCATGCTCTGCATAAAAAATATAGCATATGAATTCTGCAAATGATAGTAATATATATAAAATCATCGTTTTTACGTGTTGAGGGTTTGGGTCTTCTGGCATTTCATCACTGAGTTTGGAAAGCGGAAAGATTTTGAAGGATTTTTTTACTTACAGACTCTGATTTGATGCTTAGAATTATGGTATGTTTTGGACAGCTATCATTCATGGATTCGTTTTCAGCTCCGGGTATTAACCAACAAAAAGCATTGGCGACAAACATTCTCACAGGAATCAAGGACGATCTCTTTGCATGCAACTCAATAATTTGATTTTTCAGTTTTGGTTCCTCAATTTTATAAATTTCTTACAAAAGGGAACTACATAATACTCTATGATAAAGAAATATAGGATCAAATACACATATGGTTCCGACTATAGAGTTTTATTTTATTGAGTTTTCTAATTATTAGAAGTTATAAGTAATCTTCTGACTATAAGATGTTGTTTTGTTGAGTATTTTAACTATTAAAAATTATAAAATAGTCGATTATTCTCATATGTTTCAAACTCATTATTTTTCGTTGAAAAATTGACGACTGGGATGGAGGTTAACATGCTGATTCGTTTCATATTCTAGGATGAGAGGAATTTTTTTAAATATAATATTTTAAAAAAAAAAAAAATCTTTAAAATTACCGAAATAAGTAGCATGTACTTAATAGGATTTTCTAACGGCTATTACGATCGATACACTAAAAATGATAACATTTATAATGTTAGACACCTAAATTAAACTAAAAATAATTTAGATAAAAAAAACTATACAATTTTACCACTTATTTTTATATTAAACCATGTAAAATAAGATTTATTGAGTGATACATAGTTTAATAAGAAATGAGGATTAGGTTTGGAGCTGAAAAGAAAGGGAAGGGAATGATGGATGGAAAAAGGTGCGTTTGTGTTTGCTTACACATTTCGAGAGAGGGAGTGGCCCACTGTGTCAGGTGGACGTGCTCTCCTCCCACCGCCTTGCTCTGCAGCGTGCGCTCTTTTGCGCCTTCTAAACCGCTTTATCTGCTCTTTGCACTCATGCTTCCCATGACTCTTTCATTTCGTAATTTCATCATTTTTCTATTTTACTTCCAATATCAGTTTCTCAAATAGAAAATTTAAATTAACACAAACCATAAATAGAATTAAGAATAAATATGTGAACAAGAAGAAAGATTTCATCAACAGGGGGAAAAATGATATCTCAATTGTTCATTCAAGAAATTTTTGGACAATAAGCCCCATCCGGTAAACCTGTATTGTTCGAGAGAATGCATAATGTACTCCTCAAAAGACATCATCAATGCCCCAGAAGTCCAGGAGGCAGGCAAATTGGCAATGCTGATGTTGAATCAGGAGCTTCAAGAAGAATGTTAGTGGCATGCAGAAAAGCCTGCCTGAGTTTCGATTTGACACCAAGATAGCAATGGAGTCCTCTGGGGGCTCACCAACCAAAGGTGAGGCAGTAGGTGGATAGAGTCTCTGAATCCAAAAGGATGAACGAGTTTCTTTATAGAATAAATTTTGTTTGGAAGAACTTAAATTATATCAAAGAGAAGGAACATTCTTCAAATGCTTTGCATGAAAAACTTATAAATGGGTATTCAAGCCCCATAATCCAATGGCAAAAGACATTTCGGAACTGAGTCTTGCACCAAGCTAATGCTTCTACGTGCTAAGACCAATTTAGAGCAAACAGTACCTTAAAAGAGAGAATGAAAAACATCATGAAACTGTCTAGACAAGTAGGGATGGACCAACGGATTGACAGGACGGTCGTCTACTCTAAAATTTTCAATTTTTTTATGATACAAATATTTTCTTTATATTTTTTATTTATAATATGATTTATTCCAAAAAATTGGTACATCCCAAACCTGGTCATCAACTCAACCAAAACCTACCAAGTTCAAGCTTGAGACTTTAGTAACAAATCATGCCAAGTTGGATCTATCTTTATTTAATGAAGAATGAGAAAATCCTTAATCCCCCCTTGTGGTTAAGCAATGAATAGTGATTATGATAAAGATTAATGCTATCTTCGTATAAGATGAATTTTCTGTCATCACTTATCCACTTCCTCTATCAAGGAGTCGTTTATTCCAAAACAAGTATACTATAACAGCAAGATTTTATAGCTGATTCTGGTATGGACTGCTACATTTATTGGTTTCATAATTTAAATTTAATCAATTTTATGTATGAATTAAAATTAGTCAAATCCGTAAATATTAGTAAATGTCACCAAGGAGTTTAGTTCTGAATTCGATATTAATTTGTGACTTCATGCGATCTATTTTGTTTTGTTTAGTGAATAGATGAAAGACAACTCTCAATAAAAGTTGTTGTTTAGATAAGTGGACGTTTTATACTCAGTATGAGAGAATAAGTTGACTCCTCATACATGTTGAATACTCCTTCCCTTCCCTGCTTATAATTATTGCAACTCATTCCGTGTAAGCAACATTGAACAGAAATATGTCCACTTTGACTGAGATTCATGGATTCCTTGCTTTGAATATTTGATAATCGAGCCCAATAGTTGAATTTTTCTCTCAACATTGAGTCTATGCTTGGATTAATTAAATCAAAATCAAAACTGGAATGAATGAAAGCTGGTATGAATTAGAGCAACGTCTGTACCAGAAACGGATACATGATTTTATAGTAATGGGGTGAATTTATAAAATTTTAGTGGGGCGAGAAGGAACAATCAATAAAAACTACAACAACAAAAAATCTAAAATATAAGATAATTTGAAAATTTTGAGGGAAATAACCGCTTTCATCTATTATTCCCTCGATTCATCCATGCTCAGTACCCTTAACTTATAGAATCCTTTGAGCACCATTCGGTTGTGTTGTATCATTATTGCATGATGAAATTTAGATACAATGTATGATTGTGACTCCAATAACTGAGTTGTTTGAAATTCTCAACAAAAGAATTTTGTCCAAAGTACATGCCTAAACTCCACAAGTATCGTGTCTGTAAATTTCATTGTCTAAACTTTGTGGCAAAGCACATATATGTACCAATTGCTTGATAGAGATTCCAAATAGCAATTAATGTCTCTATCCATTAAATCCAATGGTTGAGATTGATAAGGGCTCGTTAATCGAGTTACTTTGCTGAGATCTGCTGGCAACTTTGGAAGCACAGACGTAGTTTGTTGTTTGAGCCTGATTACGTGCAAAGGGAGGATTTTGTTTCGAAGTGTAAGCGGTTGACTGAAGAATTTGCGGCAGCGAATGTGCCTGCAGCAGAGCTAATTATTTACAAATCGGATGCTAATCCTTTGATGCGGCTGCGTCCCTCTGCTGGGTGGATCAAGGCTAACTCGGATGGAGTTGTGAGATCAAATGGCAGCGTGGCCGCTGCTGGTGGACTGCTGCGTAACGTTGCGAGTGAATGGATCTTCGGTTTTACTCCCGAGGAGGTGCTCAGTTCTCACGGCCGAGCTTTGGGCTATTCATGACATCCTATTGCATGTTTGGAGGTTCGATTTTCGGCAAATTGGTAGAAACAGATGACCTTGAGGTTTCAAAATTTGTAACAAGGATTCGGAAGCGTTAGCAGGAAGAGCCTTGTTAATTGATATCTCGAGACTTCAAGATCGATATTGGAGGATAAAATTCATATTCATCGAGATCAAAAACCTACAGCTGATCGACTGACTGCTTTAAGCAGCGGAGCTCCCATTAATGGTTTTGAATTTATGGAACCTCCGGTGGAACTCTCTACTTATTTGTGGTTAATTCCTGGTTGAGTGAATGAGAGATGCATTTATTTGAACTATGTGTCTAACGCTAACAAGGCTTCTAAGTGAGACAAATTTTGTATGTTGTTATTTTATTTCAAAGTCTTGTACATCAGAATTACATAAATATCTAAAGATACCGATATAGCATTAGGTATTTAATTCCTATGTCAGCGGAAAAACAAACAGTAAAACGAAAGGCACTCGTGGTTTGGAAAACACCACGTTTCCTTTTTAGTTATTGGAAAATTTCTAAATGATACTATAAATTTTAAAAAAATTTACTAAATACTCTTTTAAAAGTAATTGCCCAAACTCTGAATTCCGTTCCATATATTCCATTTTTTCTAACCTGCCCAATTGCTAGCAATTCACCATCATACATAATAATAATGACAAAATTGATATTATTTGAAAAAACTTAATGTAAAAATAGGTGTCTAAAATATAATTAAAGTTAATTTTTGGTGTTTAAGGAAATTTTCCTTAATGTAAAAATTCTTTAGTCACCTAAAGTTAACTTTAAATATAGTTTTGACACTTAATTTTACATTAATCCTCTCAAAAATTATATCATGAATCTTTCTTTCCATATCAGATATGATGCTACATAATGAAAATTAAAAAAATCATTAACTTTATTATATTTATATAATCAATCTATATTCAAATGAAAATTTTAAAAAAAATATGAGTAAATATTTTTAATTAAAAATTTAGAAAAATAAAATAAATAATTTTTATTAG